GGCGGCCACTCGTTCGTAGAATTCCTTCCAAGCAGTGAAGGCAAAAACTGTGTAAACATGGCAGCATTTTCGGATCTGTGAATGTTGTCATGCACACAGAACAGGATACTTCTTCATGAAGATTGTTTAGCAAGGTTTTTATATCCATGATTATTGAAAGGCGGAAAACACGGAGGGTTTGCAGTTGTAAACGAATTCAACAATGAAGTCTTGGATCGAGCGACTAACAATATTAGCCAATCATAGAATGTTGTTTACAGACCTGTTTGACACGTACGATTTTTAAGAATTGTGAATTGTGATGAATTAGCTTGACCTTATTCAAATCATGTTGTGTCAGTTCGCTAAATGATTGAATGGTTGAAAGAAGAGAGTGACTGAGTTTTGTGATATTGACCAATCACGGTGCGGCATCAGATGTGTTTTCATATCACGCGACTTGTAAAAATAACTACAAGATGAGCCAAGATTTCTGAAAATTGTGGTCAGGATTCCTTGACTTTATAAACTTAAAAGGCTGTCTCATATCTTTTTAATCAGATTATTTTGCTTCTAGTGGTCAAATGTTTGGAATGGTGTCAATAGTCTTCAGAGGGTTTGTCGCGCGTTTAACTGTATTAAACCCATGTAGCTAGTCACTAGGCGATGTTACCTTTGGGCGACAAATGGCGTTCAAACAATTAAGAAACGCTGACGAACTTGATCAGAGGATGAGGCGAGACGTGAATGTCGGTCAGCATTGTATTGTATCGACCAAGACATTTACAAGCGACAGGAGAATGAGATCGATGCAAGTTTGACATCTTACCAGCTTGTAACCGAGGCACTCCCGAACGTTTGACGAAAATAATACCTGGTATCCCGAACATAACTCGACGAACTGGAATTAAAGCTTGAATACCTAAGTTCAGTCGATTTTTCCTGTTTTGTAGCCAGAAGAGACTGAGATTGTAAGACGTCATAAACGCTTGACGCACTCTCGAAAATTAGACAATACCCCATCTCCCGAAGATAGCGTGACGAATTGGAAATATGTAGCCTGAATGCCTGATCTGTATCTTGCGGGCTCAAAATCAACTGTTACCAGGGTCTTCTAAATCATGCTTTCTTTGTCGTTAAAGTCAGTGCTTATTAATAATAAGAGAAGCCGGAATTATATATGCCGTGCTTTCTAAACAACAGCACGGATGAAACTGATGCACGTGTTAAAAACATGAAACGTTCGACCAGACTGAACATACTTATAGTTAGCCACAGGTACACAAAAAGTCATAAACTTTTTTTAACGACTTTAACTTCGTTGTATGCTTAAAAGTAACGTTGAGCCCTTTTGGAGCCTTTTTGTAGCTTCCGGGGATCTGAATTTAGGGACGTAGGTAGTGACTCAGTAGGGACGACTTCATGTTAAAACATGAAGACATTCCCACTGGGTGTGTTTGCTAGCTATCCGTTTGGTTGGGATGCTCTTATCACTTCATTTTTCGTCAATATTAACTAAATCATCATTGTTAGGGTAATACGTAATGTGTCGTGGACTAAAGAGCTAAAAGCTAATAGACACTCTTCTTAGGGAAGGTACGCTTTTTATTGGGGGGTGGGTGGGCCAGGGCTTCGGAGGGGAGGGTCATTAGTAAATTTTTTACAAATTGGGGAGGGTCAAACCTGTTTTATTCGCAACCGGGGGAGGGTCACAGTTTTTTTGGCAAGGAAAAAATTACTCCATGTCTCTTAGTTGACTCTTACTTGTTAACAAACACGCGAAGTGTATAGAAACCTAAAACTTGCACATACAAGCAAAGCTACCAGTCAAGATTAATCTAAATTATTTACCGGTGTTGAAATATGATATCCAAAAACTATCTTGTCCAAACTAACATAATTGTCTCCCTCGACCAGTGCCCGCTTTCGTCCATATTTAGACGGCGGTAATGTTTCCGCTCGGGGTTCTGGTATAAAATCAGTCTCCGGTGACGATTCGTTACTCAAGCTACTCGGGCTTGAACCGACAACTCGATCTACCACATCACTTTGCGAGT